CTTTAAGCACAGCCCTCGGCTAGCCTGAGAAAGCATCTCCACGCTCTAAGTTCTTCTCTGATGCCCTGCCGGCACTGCTTCCGGCCATCCTTAAGCCCGGTTCAGGGTCCACTTAATGTGGACATGCTAGTTCGAATTAGCAAAACGCTAATTCGAACTGGTTTTTTAGTCTGGATCCGTTAGTTCGAATTAGCTTAGTTCGAATTAACTAATTCGAACTAAGTTAGTTCGAAGTAGCGCTGTAGTGTAGACATACCCTCTCTTGCGCAAGAAAGCTCTGGCGGCCATTTTCGCCATAGGGGTTTCTTGTGCAAGAACTTCATGTTGCCTGTCTACACTGCCCTCTTGCGCACGAGCTCTTGCACAAGAGGGCTTATTCCTCATGGGGAGAGGAATAACGCTTGCGGAAGAAGCCCTGTTTTCCGACTCTGTACTGTAAATTTACTTGCGCACCAATGCGTGTGCAGTGTAGACACCCGGCAAGGTTTTGCGCAAGAACTGTGCAAGAAGCCGCCAGTGTAGACGTATCCATAGCGTTTAACTGGTTACCATTTGAAATGGGATTTTACTTCCCTAGTGTGCTGTATCCAGATACACACCGGTGTGTAAATTAAAATAAATTAATAGAGATTGCCTATCTCCTAGAACTGGAAGGGATCTTGAAAGGTCATCTAGTCCAGTCCCCTGCCTTCACAGTCTTGTCAGTACCATCCCTGACAAATTTTTGCCCCAAATAGCTTCCTCAAGGTTTGGGCTCACAACCCTGAGTTTAGCAGGCCAATGCTCAAACCACTGAGCTATCCCTCCCCAATCAGTGCAAGGTGTGTGCATGTGTGGAGGGGCTACCTGGCAGAGGTAGTCTGGTAAGGTGTAATAGTCCTCCCCCTTTACCACCAGCTAGTAAGAAATCCAGTGATATGTGCAACATGGATTGCAATGGTTTGGAACAGTTCCTGCCCTGTCTCTATCAGTCTCACCATTACATAGATGGGGAAACTGAGGCACAGAGCACTGGCGAGACCCAACAAACATCACCGATCCAAACAGTGGCAGGACCGGGAGCAGCCCCCAGGACTGCTGGTTCTGTGCTCTACCTGCTGGGCAAGACTGTCTCCCTTGTCGAGGCAGTAATGGCACCGCAATGAAAAATGTATGTCCTACCTCCCTCCCTCCGTATAGTTTGCCTATATTCCCAGGATAGGCTTGAAGTTAAAGCACTGCATGGGGACGCTGGGCTCTGCTCCTGACTCTGCTACTGGCCCTAGATGTGTGATTGACAGCAAGCGTCAGTTTCCCCATTTATACACTCATGTCTCTTTGGAGTGTCAGCTCTTTGAATCAGGGCCTGTCGCTCATGCTGTATGTGCAGCACCTAGCACAGTGGTCGCCAACTTTTATAAGCATGAGATCACTTTTTTAATTTAAGTAAAATCCAAGATCGACCTCAGACCCAAATAGCCTTGCCCCACCTAACTTGTGCCCCTTTGCCGAGGCCCCGCCCCTGCTCACTCCATCCCTCCCCTATCCGCCCTCACTTTCACCAGGCAGGGACAGCAGGTTGGGGTGCAGGCTTTGGTCTTGGATTAAGGGAGTTGGAGTGCGAGAGGGGCTCTGAGCTGATCTTGGGGCAGGCAGGAATTATTAGAGAACTTTCTGGGTGTCTGGCTGGTGAGTCTTGCCCACATGCTCAGGGTTTAGCTGATCGCCATATTTGGGGTCGGGAAGGAATTTTCCTCCAGGGTAGATTGGCAGAGGCCCTGGAGGTTTTTCGCCTTCCTCTGTAGCATGGGGCACAGATCACAGCTAGAGGATTCTCTGCATCTTGGGGTCTTCAAAGTATTTGAAGGCTTCAATATCTGAGATATAGGTGAGAGGATTATTCTAGGAGGGGTGGGTGAGATTCTGTGGCCTGCACTGTGCAGGGGGTCAGACTAGATGATCATAATGGTCCCTTCTGACCTTAAAGTCTATGAGTCTATGAGTCGGGGTGCTGGAGGGGTGATGCAGGCTCTGGCAAGGTGTTTGGATGCAGGGACACTCAGGCAGGGGTTTGGGGTGCAGGAAGAGGTCCATGACTGGGGTAGGGTTTCAGGATGTGGGCTCCGACTGCTCACCTCCGGTGGCTCCTGGGTGGTGGTGCAGTGGGGCTGAGGCAGGCTCACTCATGCCCTGGCCCTGCACCACTCCCAAAAGCAGCCCGCAAACTCCCTCCACCCCAAGCCCTGTTGTGCCCCCTCTCTGCTCTGTGGAGAGTGGGAGAGGGGGGCATCTTGACATCAGCACCCTCCTCTCCCTCTCCTGCCCATCAAGCAGGAGGCTCCCAGGGGGGAGGGGAGATGGGGCGACGCAGCTTCAAGGCAAAGGGCAGGAGATGCACAGCCGTGGGGGAAGGTGCTGTGCTTGACAGCCTCTTGGCCAAACAAGTCAGGATCATCTGTCAGAGGCTCCAAGATCTACCAGTAGCTCCTGATTGACTGCTTGGTGACCACTGACCTAGCACAACAGCCCACACTTTTGGTTAGTTATTGGAACTGAAACACACACACACACCCCCATCCCCTCCTCTCCAAAGGGTGACATTTGAGAATCGTCTTTTTGCTCACCCCAGGTCCCATTTAATCTCACTACCCTGCCCTGACGCCTGTTGACTGTCCCAGCATCCGGGTGTAGCTGAGCAAAAAACCAGACAGCTACACAGATTAAAAACAACAATATCTTTATTTACATGCACACTGGAGCTGCATCGACCAGGCTACACAGATCCTAGCGCTCCCCCCGAGCAGGATGGGAAGGCCGCTCCCAAACATTAGGCCAGTATATTGCACATGGTGGAGGCAATGTGCCTGACATAGGAAGGGGTGCTCTGATCGCGGTGGCCTCAGAGTGATGGGGGCTTCTGGCAGGGCTTGAATGGTGGGGAAGTTTGGACTCATAGCTGCCAATCTCCCTAACAGCGCACACATGTCCCCTGCGGCTCATACCCTGTGGGGTTCGGGACAGGATGAAATCAGGCAGGGGGTTGGGAGCTGAGCCAAGGTGCAGATCAAGGCCAAGCCGAAAGCCCATCCCCCCCTCTGTAGGCTGGAATCAGGATTGGGAGCAGAATTCGGCGGCACCTCACCTCCCAACCATGCCTCTTCTGGGCTGCCAGGATCCAGTCCTGGGGTACTGAGTCTGTTGGAAGGTAGCCCTGCTGGGTTAGCAGCAGCATGCCTGCCAATATTTCCCATGCATGTGCAGAATAACTTTTGTTACATGCGCCAAGGAATATGTGAATGTGCACCACCAGTAGACACACATACTGCTGTCTGTGGGTGCTCTGCTAATCAGCTGGGCCTCAGTTTACAGGGACCACTGCTTATCAGTCTCTTTGGGGGGAAACTCATGGGAACGCCTGCCGATCTGTGCCCCAACACCAAGGTGTCACGTTTCCGTCCACTCTACGGATGAAGGCTCAGGAGCCAGGTGCGAACATCACAGGTTCTGAAGGCTGAGGCAACAGCTCCAGTTCCTCCCCCACCCCCTCCCCAGTTCTTAGTGGTTGTGGCATTGTACAAAGCTGAGCTGGCGAAGACGAAGAGACTCTGGGTGAATCCAGGGAGGTGCCAGTAAAGGGCCATCCACGTTCCCGACACAGCTCTCCTTCTGCTGGAATTTGGAGTCAGTCCTCCACCTTTCCCTTGGGAGAGTGGACAGAGACAGCAGGGAGAGGATGGGCAGACGGATGGAGAGACACAATACCCAGGGGGCTCCTCACCGGGCCTGCCTCCGGAGTGGCGGGGATGGGGGATAGTGCCGGACTGGGGGCATGTCGTAGTGGCTGGGGATGTGGCTGTTCTTGGGGGAGTCGTAGTGGTTGGGGGGGACGCTGGAGGCTGTTGGAGACACACCTTCTGCCCCCGGGGGGCAACTCTCTAGAGGGAGGAGAAAGACAAGGGCATTACCAAAGGCACCGGTGAAAGGGTCTGCAGAGGGGACTGTTGGGGTCTGGGCAGCTCCTGGCACGAGGGGGCCCCGATCGCGGTCCGGAGTCTGGGCAGCGCCCAGCCCCAAGGGGGCCCCCGATCCCAGTCAGCGTTGCCCCTGAAATGCAAGTCTAGCACCCTTGAATGGCCTGTCCAACCCCTCCCCCCCATTCATCCTCTGGCCTCACTGCAAAGCACATGGGACCTGAGGGCCCGCAGCCCGTCACCGTGCCGAACTCACTGTTGGGGTCTGGGCAGCTCCTGGCACGAGGGGGCCCCGATCGCGGTCCGGAGTCTGGGCAGCGCCCAGCCCCAAGGGGGCCCCCGATCCCAGTCAGCGTTGCCCCTGAAATGCAAGTCTAGCACCCTTGAATGGCCTGTCCAACCCCTCCCCCCCATTCATCCTCTGGCCTCACTGCAAAGCACATGGGACCTGAGGGCCCGCAGCCCGTCACCGTGCCGAACTCTACCTTCAGCCTCGGAGCCGGCCGCCGGCTCCTCGAAGATCCCAATCTCAGCGTAGGACATTTCTCGCTTCACGGGGGACTTCATCTCCATGTAGCTGCCCTCCGAGGGCTTGGCCATGAGCAGGGGCAGGTCCTTGATGGTGGCGTAGGGGTTCTCGCTGTTCAGAGAGCTGTTGCTGGCGCGCAGGGCCTGGCCGCCGGCTCCTCGAAGATCCCAATCTCAGCGTAGGACATTTCTCGCTTCACGGGGGACTTCATCTCCATGTAGCTGCCCTCCGAGGGCTTGGCCATGAGCAGGGGCAGGTCCTTGATGGTGGCGTAGGGGTTCTCGCTGTTCAGAGAGCTGTTGCTGGCGCGCAGGGCCTCCTCCTTGATGTAGTCTGGAGGGCGGGCGGGGGGGCAGCAAAGGGAGGGCGGGGGAATACAGGAAGGGGGACTAGCCAGGCAGCCGGGAGGACAGGAGTTTGCTGGCTCTCTCTGCAGTGGCTGCTGACTGGGCCCTTTGCCAGAGGCCTCAGCAAAGAGACCAAGGGCTGGATGGACACCCAGCTCTCGTCTTCCCCCCGGGGCATCCCACTTGGGCAGGGCAGTGGCCCATGGGCAGCGTGCAGGGGCGGATTGGGGGAGCTTACTCCAAAGCCAATCCAGCCACCTTGCACCCTGTTCTCGGGCTTTGGGGGCTGCCATGGCTAAGCCTGGGGGCGTCAACTCTGCAGCAGCGCCCCCGTTTGGCCAGGCCCAGCCCTGTTGCCCCCGAAGCACAAAGCCGCGCCTAGAATACACTCAGGCATCAGGGCCAGTGGCAACTCGGTGGGGAGAGTGCCCCCTACTGGATCCCCCACTCCCACAGAGCCCCCCCTGGTGCTACACTGAGCCCCAGAGCGCCCCCTGGTGGCGCACGGAGACATGGGCTCAGCATTGAGCGCAAGCAGAGAGCGCCCCCTACTGAGCCCCTCACCCCACTCCCACAGCGCCCCCTGGTGGCGCACTGAGCCCCAGAGAGCCCCCTGGTGGCGCACTGAGCCCCAGAGCGCCCCCTGGTGGCGCACGGAGACATGGGCTCAGCACTGAGCGCAAGGAGAGAGCGCCCCCTACTGAGCCCCTCACCCCACTCCCACAGCGCCCCCTGGTGGCGCACTGAGCCCCAGAGCGCCCCCTGGTGGCGCACGGAGACATGGGCTCAGCACTGAGCGCAAGGAGAGAGCGCCCCCTACTGAG